TCTTAAAATAACAACTCATTGTTTCGGTTGTTTCAAAAAGAATTGTGCAGAAACAGAAACAAACATACTCATGTCCGTAAACAATTCTTAAACAGTTACTTTAAAAAACCCACCAAACACACACACAACAGAGCTCACAAGCGAGGAAAGAATATGTTCGCATTGGGGAAAAAAATGATGCAGCAAATTGAATTCTAGATCAAAATCTCTTGTGCGTAGAGAAAATATATCCCAAGAGTACAAAAATCAATTTAAAAAATACAAGCTAACACTGCCACAAAAATCCCGCTGATACAGAGATCTAGATGTCCAATTAACACTTTTCCTGAAATAGAGCTCGGCAGTGTGAATTAATTTATTGCTCATCTTGTCCTTGGGAATCTCTCTTTGCAAAAAGCCTGGAGGGCGAGAATCCTTTCGCCAGAAGACTAAAAAAAGAGAAAGACAAAATTGATCAAGATCGATATCAATTCAAACTGGTTAATGTCTCTTGAGAATTGAGTGTGCTCAATTTCAAATTCCAATCGGGCTGTCAGCTAAGATACCATAAAAAGAGAAAAGGCCGATGTTAAGGCTAACAAATGGGGCTGTCAGCTAAGATACCATAAAAAGAGAAAAGGCCGATGTTAAGGCTAACAAAGTGTGGTAAAAACGACAATATTCTGATCACCTTTCGACTCTTTCAGATGTTTAAAACACTTTGCCAACCAATTCATCATAGAGCAATAGAGGAGGAATGGGGATGAAGTAGAAGATCAAAATCTATACATTTTTTATTTCAAGTTATTTTTAAAAAATCAAAATGGCCATCATCTCGTTGTGTATTGGCATCTGAACTTCCACATCGTTGGACAATCTCCTGATGCTTGAAAGCGAAACAAAAGCCCTCAAGCTTGGCGGAATTTTCAGCTCCTTCAGCTGTCAGAAGGACAGCGTAAAAAATAAAGATTAATTTTCTTATGATTACATTGGGACGGCAAAATTAAGAAGTTGGCTAATCCTATGAAACTTTCAAAACATAGAGAAGATTCAATAAGATTAGTCATAAAACGTGTTCTAAATTAAATTGTGACAGAAAAAACTGAATGGACAGGATGATAAACAGCGATTGAGTAAGACGAGACAGAAAGAAAAGGTTATTGGAATACCAGTTTTATTTTCCATGAATGTCATCTCACTCCTGTGTACAGTTCGCGCTGTTAACACAGTTCGCCAATAGGGGTCTCATTTGGGATCTGTTATAAATCTTCCTTGCCCGAGCAACAATGAAAACTCTTGGGACAGAAAATAACGGGGATACTTGTTGACAGTTCGAATTTCACAGAGCCCTAAAATTACCCTATCAAAATAAGAGAGGGGGGCAGAAAATAAAGGAAGAGTCTAGTTTTTCGTGAGGAAAAGAAAATATTTAATTTGTAGATCTAATTTTTTTCAGGGATATATATTGTGAAATAGATTGTGCAACGTGTGGAATACAGAAGCATTGTATACGAAATCTTTTCTCAAAGGTAAAAAATGCGAAGATTTCATGTTTCGTACAATTCCATCACTTAGTTTACCCATTAACTTCTACGTGCTATAGTGACTGACTTTTCCCATCAGAATATCAGCTGCCTGGATTGAATAAATACATGTGTAAAGTTGTTCTTCTTTCTTCTATGTGCCTTGTTTTTTATTTGTTGTTGTTGTTGTTGTTGTTTGTTTGTTTGTTTGTTTTTGTGGGGGTGGGGGTTGGGGGGGGGGTTCTTGTTTGTTTCGTTTTGTTTTATTTTTTATTTGTCTGTAGTTATGGGGTTTATTTTAGTCAAAGACAACTCTTTGAATCCACTTTTTTTTTTAAAGATCCAAGGGCACACATGCATTTTTAATGAAAAAATTGCGAAATCCCCACACCATGCAAACTCACCCCTAAGCACTGGTATGAGGAGTTTTGGACTTGTTTATAAACAGACCTCTGAGCTCTGAAGAAAACTTAACTTTTACA